AGTATTAGACTGGACTGTAGCGTACTGTATTAGACTGGACTGCAGTGTATAGTATTAGACTGGACTGTAGGGTACAGTATTAGACTGGACTGTAGTGTACAGTATTGGTCTGGATTATGGAGTACAATATTAGACTGGACTGTAGTGTACAGTATTAGACTGGACTGTAGAGTACTGTATTAGACTGGACTGCAGCGTATAGTATTAGACTGGACTGTAGCGTACTGTATTAGACTGGACTGCAGCGTATAGTATTAGACTGGATTGTAGCATACAGTATTAGACTGGACTGTAGCGTACTGTATTAGACTGGACTGTAGTGTACAGTATTAGACTGGACTGTAACTTACAGTATTAGACTGGACTGTAGCGTACTGTATTAGACTGGACTGTAGCGTACTGTATTAGACTGGATTGTAGCGTATAGTATTAGACTGGACTGTAGTGTACAGTATTAGACTGGATTGTAGCGTATAGTATTAAACTGGATTGTAGCGTATAGTATTAGACTGGACTGTAGCGTACAGTGCTGCATTGGACTGTTCTACCATGGGCTGTACGGGACTGATCTGCATTAGGCTGTGCTGGGCAGCACCTACCCTCCGGTCTGTATTGTGCGATGATAGTGACAGTCTGACCCGCATTCTTCAGCGCAGTGGCTGCCTGCTCATGGGTGGCGCTCCGGAGATCCACGCCATTCACCTGAAAGAGTAGACAGAGAGCATGACAGAGCGTCCGAAGTGCTGGAGCGATACAGAGCTGGAGAGATGGAGAGGCAGGGAGAGAGGGGGAAGAGCAGAACGAGAGAAGTACAGAGAGAGAGAGGCGGCCGAGACAGTGATCGAGGGTCACTCACAGACAGAATCTGATCCCCTTTCCTCAGCTCCCCGCTCAGGTCAGCCGGCCCCCCTGCCAGGATGAAGGAGATGAAGATGCCTTCACCATCCTCACCCCCCACAATGTTGAAGCCCAGCCCTGTGGAGCCCCTGTGGATCAGAACTCTCCTGGGCTCCCTGAGAGACAGAGGGATTAATCAGACACACTGGACACTACAGTCCATTAACACTGCACTGAGAGAGAAGGGTTAATACAGACACACTGAACACTACAGTCCATTAACACTGCACTGAGAGAGAAGGGTTAATACAGACACACTGGACACTACAGTCCATTAACACTGCACTGAGAGAGAGAG